CTGAGAGGAACTGGGGCCTTCTCAGCCCGGCTGCCACCTCCCATCCCAACATCCCAGGCCCAGCTGCAGCAGGCGGGGACCCAGGGGTAACCAGAACGCAGGGGGACCATGACCCTCATACCTGGCAAAGTCTGGTGAGCGGGAGATGACGTGCTGGAACTCTGAGAGGTTGATGGTGCCATCCCGATCGATGTCGGACTCTTCCAGGATCTGGGAAAGGACAGCTTCAGGCCAAGTCCTAGCCCTCCCCTCCCGTTCCCTGGCCCGGCCCGGCCCGGCCCGGCTACTCACGTTGTCAATGAGTTGTTTCATCTCTGAAGCACTAAGCTGCGTGTCCTCGCCTGGGCCCGTGAGGCAGTTCACGAGCTGGCTCAGGTCTTCTCGGTTCAGGGTTCCATCATCATCGAAGTCTATGGACAGACGCAGGAAGCCAGAAAGAATGTGGTCAGTGTGAGTTCCAAGGCTCCACAGAGACCCCCGGCTCCCGGGCAGGAACACCACCACCAGGACCATGTGGGAGCAGGCCGTGTCAGGCCATGCCAGGCTGCTCCTGGCCCTCACCGAAGATGCGGAAGGCATAGTGGGACTTGAGGTCTGGAGTCGCTGTGTCACTGAACACACTGAGGAGGTCCAGGAAGTCCTCGAAGCTCAGGCTGTCCCTCGCTGGCGATGTGGAGAAGACTCTGCAGATTCGCTCCTTGAAGGGGTTGGCCTAGGCAAGAGAGCCTTCTGTGAACACCATGGGATGTAGCCCAGGTCACACACTCCTCAAATCCTGCCAGGAACTGGAGGGAGCAGGTCACGGTACCATGAGCTTGGGCTCACGGGAGAGCATGCTCAGTGTTTTGGGACCAGCATGGAGGGTGGGAGAGCCAACTGACTGAGGAAGGGACAGGGACGGCTGTAACCGAGTCAGTTTGACCCAACAGCAGGCCTAGGGGCAGAGAAGGAAGATGAAAGCATCCTAAGCAGAGAACAAGATGGGCTGGTTACTATAAAACACGTTTACTTGAACACTCACTGTGTTATAGGCACCAGGCCAGGCCCTTTGCCTAAAAATTTTCACAGCAACCCTGTGGAGAGGCATTTGGCCTCTGGAATAGAGCTTCTCAAACCTTAATACAGTAACTTAACTCCTTTTATTTATTTATTATTATTTTTAGGCTTATTTATTTTGAGAGAGAGAGACAGACAGACAAAACTAGAACAGGGGAGGGACAGAGAGAGAGAGGGAGAGAGAGAGAGAATCCCAAGCAGGCTCTGCACTGTCAGGACAGAGCCCGATGCAGGGCTTGAACTCACAAATTGTGAGATGACCTGAGCCAAAATCAAGAGGGGACGCTAAACCAACTGAGCCACCCAGGCGCCCCTCAACTCCTTTTAAAGGACAAAACTTAGGGGTGCCTGGGTGGCTGAGTTGGTTAAGCGGCCAACTTCGGCCCAGGTCATGATCTCACAGTCCATGGGTTCGAGCCCCGCATCAGGTTCTGTGCTGACAGCTCAGAGGCTGGAGCCTGCTTTGGATTCTGTGACTTGCTCTCTCTCTGCACCCCACCCCCACCCCCCTGCCCCGCTCATACTCTATCTGTCTCTCTCTCAAAAATGAATAAACATTAAAAAATAATAAAATTAAAAAATATAATAAAGGACAAAACTTACTTGACTCTCCAATAATATGTCCAAGAATCCCAGTTTGAAAAACACCATTCCAGTTAATTCTACTGGGTGATTTTGATAAAGCCCTTGTCCCCAGGAAATTGGGACTAAATGGAGGAAAGACCAGAATGGGGGACTAGTGACCACATGATCTCAAGATGAATAGCAGAGGCAGGGTGGGGGACTGGCACCTTGAGCTCTGGAAGGCTGAGGATCTGCTCCAAGGACACTCGTGTGTGCAGTGACTCCTCCGTGCTCCGGTGCTCCTGAGGAAGCAGCTCACAAAACCGCCTGTGGGCTCTGGCAGAAGGAGAGGAACCTGTTGGCAAACCTTCCTGTGTGTATCACATCCCCACTCCTTGCCTTGCTACCCATTATAAACCAGGTGACAAGCTAAGCCACATACACAGAGCTTCTCAGCCATCAGGCATAAGCCAAAGGGAGATATGTCACAAGACTACAGGCTGGGAGTCCATTCATGCAATGGGTATTTACTGAGGGCCTACTGTGTGCCAGGCACTGTACTGGGACTGGCTCTAGAGCTCCCAGAGGGATGGAGAGGGTGCAGAAGGAGCCAGCAGTTGGCCCTGAAAAACAGTAAGAAAAGAGTAAAGTCGAAACCTCACTTTCATTTCACTCCAGGGATCTCCAGCTCCTCAAAGCCTTCCATTTTAGCAGCTACCTAAACGATCTCTTCCTCCGCCCCCAGCTCCTTCCCACTGGGATTATTTTTGCCAAGAGAAGCCAAGGAATCGCCTCACTCAAGCGCCTTCACCACAAAAAGCTGGCACACGGCTTGGAAGGGGTTTCCAGCCCGAATTCAAATCCTCTCACTTGGAGCGTACTCTTAGTCAAGTAAACAAACTTTTCGGAAACCTGATTCATTGTCCCCGCACCTCCCTCCTAAGGATTGAATTAGGCAATATAGGCAAGCACTTCGCACAGTTGCTGGCGCACGACGAGTGCTCAGTAAGCGTTAACGGTTACTGTATATATTCAGGTCAAGTTACGAGGGGCCGGGCTCCCGGTAGGCGAAGTCCGCCGAGCCCCCGCCGGGCTGGGGCAGGAAGTTCGATAACGCAGGAGCCAGGGAGCGCAGGCCCCGGAGTGCCCAGCCCGGGCGGAGGCTTCGAGGTGGCTCTGCGGTGCGCATCGAGGCCCCCCGAGCCGGCGGGGAGGGCTCGCGGCCGGGGCGCGGGCACCTGCTCGGCCGCGGGCCCCGTCCCTCCCCCTGGGGGACCCTTTGTTAAACAGAGCCCCCCGAAGTCGCCTCTAGAAGATCCGGGAGCTGAGGTTCGAGACGGCACTTACAGGAGGATCTCCTGCTTGGTCAGGAACGTCAAGTCCTGGAAAGCAAAACGGGAGGGGTTCAGCGGGCCTCCCGGAGGCCGCGCCCGCCCTACCGCCCGCCCCGGGACCCAGCCCCGGGACCCCGCTCCGCAGCGCAGGCCCGCGCGCAAACTCCCCGGGGACCGGCGTCCCGCGCACCTGGTACTCGGCCAGCAGCTCCTTGGACAGGCGACTGCCCGAGCCCCCCATCGCCGCGCCGCACGCAGAACTCCGCCAACTCGTCTCGGGGCGCCGGCAACTTTTTCACTTCCGCCCTCGGGCCGCGTCACCGCCCCGTTCCCGCGGCAACCGCTCCTGGGGCCACCGCCCCCGGGCCCGCCCCCTCCTTAAAGAGCCCAGGCGCTCCCGGCTGGGTTCAGCGGGCCCGCTTCGGGAGGTCCGCAGCTAGCTGGAGGCGGGGCCCGGAACGGGGCCGGACGCTCCGGGGGCGGAGCCCAGCCCGCACGGCCCCGCCTCTGAAGCGGACGGGGCGGGGCCCGCCGCGCGCGGGCGTGCAGACTGAGCATGCGTTCGACACGCCACTGCCTCGCCATGGCTGGGATAGGAGCTTGCGGCGAGTGTCGCGTTGCGTCCGGTTCGACTGCAGTCGGTGATGGCGGAGGCTTTGGGCGCGGTCCGGTAGGGGCATCAGGGAAGTACCTGGTGCCTGGATATCCGGGAAGCCTCGAGAATCGCTACGTGGCCGAAGGCTGCCGGCCAAGCATCCGCTCGGCGAGGGCTTTTTCATTCAGCTCGTACCACTGTGCCCTCGCCGCACGTGTTGCAGCCCGCATGCCACCTCCAGAAATCACAGAACCTTGCGGCCCACTGAGGCTGTACGCAGAGTGCCGGGAGCCGTGCTTAGTGATCTTCGATTTTCACAAGGGCCCTGCAGGGTAGGTTCCCATTTTACAAATGGGGAGAACAGATCCGGTGCGGGGGGGGGGGGGGTCCGTGACTTGTCTAAGCTCCATTTTGAAAGAGGTCACCCCAGTCTAAGTCTCTTTTCACGGCTCTCCATGGCCATACTGCTTACTCCAGCCGACGTGCTCTCTTCTGACCCACGTCGCTTCCAGAGGCGGTAAGGACCGAGGGTGACCTGTTTGCTCTTGTCCCCTCTCAATCTCTAGGAAAACGCTTGGCAGGTGGAAAGCTTCAACGAATTGGATGCATGCATGCATGAACGAACCTACACTAGTCCAGAAGGTGAGGATTACAGGTTCCTGAGAGGAGGAGGTGGGCGTTTTCAGCTTTATTGAGGTATAATTGACACACTTGTTGGAATTCGTTCTTGACTCTCCTGATTTATTGTGCTTGCTGATCTTTGTGAAGTCTAAGCCTGATCATGTTGATTTCAGCTTAAAACTAATGATTAAAAACCAGTCTAGGACCCTCTGAAATCTGACTTCAGCCTCTGTCCCTTTCTCTTGGCTTTTCTGGGCTCTCAGTTCCTCTTCCATCTTAGCCTCAGGGAAGCCTTTCCTGCTTCCCTAGACTAGGTTAGGAATCTTATACTTACAGAATCCCCAGTGCAGTTTATGTTGACTTGGCTTACTTGTCTGTAAGCCCCGTGAAGAGCTAGGAGAATTGCGATCTACAGGATCTGACAGGTTGCAGTTGTTGAGTAAATGTTGCTGAGTGACTTCCCCAGCACTGAATAAGGCCTTCATCTATCTGAGAGTGACTTTAGTAACACTCACTATATCAGCATGTGAGTCCCACCGTTGTGGAAATGTTCTCTTCCAAGGAGCGGGGGCTGCAGAGCAGTGAGAACACCAAAACCAGTCGAGGTGAGTGGAGTGTAGCCCAGTCCCAACCTGATCATCCTGACAGTAGGCTGGCTCTTCCTGTGCAAGAAAGGATTTTTCGGGCACCTAGGTGGCTCAGTCCATTAAGCGTCCGACTTCAATTCAGGTCATGCTCTCGCAGTCTGTGAGTTCGAGCCCTGCGTTGGGCTCTGTGCTGACAGCTCAGAACCTGGAGTGCTCTTCGGATTCTGTGTCTCCCTCCATCTCTGCCCCTCTCCCACTCATGCTCTGACTCTCTCTCTTTCTCTCTCTCTCTCTCTCTCTCTCTCTCTCTCTATCTCAAAAATGAATAAACGTTGAAAAAAATTAAAAAAAAAAAAGGATTCATCTTTGGGTAGTAAAAGGATAGACAGGAAACAGGAAGCTGTCATAGTGTCTCCTGTACTAGACTGAGGGGAGGGAGCACTGGCCAGCCAAGGCCAGTCCCTGGACTTCATGGTGAGACTACCTCTTCACAGTGAAGATGTGGAAATAGGCCCTGTGCCGTGGTGACCATCAGTGACGTAGATCTCCCAGCCACCTCACTTGGTGCTAAGCCCTTCTTTGAACAGCCTTCTGATTATAATGTTGCTTCCTGGTACATTTTTATATAGAGGAGGGACTATACTGATTAGCCAATATGAACATTTTGTGCCGTTTGGCACGTTTCTCATTGTAAGTTATTAAATAGGCGTTCTGAGCCTGGTCAGCATACCGTCCTGCCTTGCCTGATCAACTCTTGAAACAGTGTAAAACCTGAGTTGCTGATAATGCTTTTAACAATAGCTTCTAGGGGCGCCTGGGTGGCTCGGTTGAAAGTCCGACTTCTTGGCTCAGCTCATGATCTCGTGGTTCGTGAGTGCAAGCCCCACATTGGGCTTGCTACCATCAGCCTGTCAGTGAGGAACCCAGTTTGGATCCTCGTCCCCCTGTCTCTCTGCCCTTCCCCTGCTTGCACATGCATACGTGCTCTCTCTCTCTCTCTCTGTCTCTCTCAAAATATAAATTTTTAAAAAAGTAGCTTCTAGTGTTTCCTGTGAAATTATTTTATTTATTTACTTATTTATGAGAGAGAAAGAATCTTTTTTTAAACAATTTTTTTATATGTTTTATTTATTTTTGAGAGAAAGAGAGAGCACAAGTGGGGGAGGGGC